GCCGTCTCCAATGCCTCCAACGGGGGGACTGGTTGAGTGGGTTGTGGGAAGGCGGGGATTGGGAGGGGGATGAGAAGTTTGGGCCGTCGTTTCGCGATGCACAAATGAAGCATGTACCCCAGAATTACTATGTACCGCGTATACTCTACAGGATACCTGAAAATGACTCGTCTTCACAGCTTTGAGCGTTATGTTGCGTATATTTTTGTTAGCAGTAATTGCTTGTTTGTAGGTGATGTATGTTTATACGGTAAAAAAAGATCACTCATCCAACGCCAGTGGCGTGGAAATACTACTAATAGTAGTGGTACTTACTCTGCGATGGGTGTATGAACGGCAGCGCTGCTACAAGGCGTTGGTCGCAGGAGTGGAGAAGGAAAACGAAGAGGAGGAGACGACCAGAGACTTCGAGCGTGGTTTTAGGTAACATGGCCATCGCACATGCGCCCAAGATAGAATTTGAAGCACCTAATATGAATCTAAAACGCCAGTGGCAGTCTTATTAGCGAGATATCTGGTAGTAGGTAGGCGATGAGCTAGAATGTAGGCTAGGGAACTGGGCAAGGATTCAAAGAAACTCGGGCGTTGCTGGGGATGTTTGAGCAGAAGTATACATTCAAATTTTCAAGAATGGTGGGGGTGGATGCATGTGGCTCGTTCACTGTGGTGTTGGTCGTTGTCATACACGAGATTTTATACGCTGATGTGGCTTTCTTTGGGTCTGGGAGCAACAGCAAGGAAAAGTGTACGCGTCAGCAAATGCTGAATCAATGACACGGCGTTGTCCTGCAGACCTATTTTGGACATCTAAGACTCAAGCGTGGTCAACGCACTCCAACCCTTCCTCTCGGTCAGTCAAAGCAAGTCATCACGGTGTTTCGCAATGGGTTTTCTGGGTCCTAGTTCTATCTGACATGAGGTTACCCGGTCGTTCCACTCCATAAACGTGCGGGTAATTGTGACAGACACGAATTTCGTCAGAAATCGCACATGTTCAATCAGGATGCAGAAATGTTCGTAGGATCCCACCGAAACCCCAACACAAGAACCGCTGCGGTATACATTCCTCTAGGTGTTTTCTGGGGGCATTTAGGGTGTACACCCTTTGACGCCCGATGATTGGGTAACGAAGTGAGCAGGAAAGAAGAATCACGTGGGCGAGGAATGCAAAGCGCTTTGGCGACGCCAACCAGTTTCGTGAGGGGGTTGGGCTGGGGGAAAAAAAACGCAGTCTGGCAGAAGAACAAAGTCTCCCCAACACAACCACGCGGGATTACAAACATACACTGCTTTTCCGCCCGTAGTTAGTCCTCACGCGATACACGGTCGATAAGCCAGCACACGCCAAGCGCCCACTCTCATGCCTTCCACCCGCGATCCACCTCTAGACTCGGCCGTTTCTCACCTTTTCCCGTCGAAATCCTAATCCCGAAATACTAAGCGCGACTACGTTTTTAGTAAACCATCATTTCACGCCTGCAGGGTATCTAGCGCTACGGAACGGCAGTGCGGAGGGATGAGACATTGCTGCCTTTTCAGCGATTAAAGCAAGGGTGCACTTTGGGGGGGGTGGAGGCAAAGGTTTATCACTTGCCTCCACATGGTTACCCTGTTTGTGTTGGGAGTCCAAGCGAACCACACTTCAGTGTTGGCGGACTTGCGCGGGTTGTCTCTCCCCCGTCGTCAATTGCGACTTCCCAACTGGGAGTTGGGAACTTGAGTCACAACTAGGCAGTTAGTGAACCATGACCCACTTGACTCTCGTAGCACCACGACACTTGCATTGCAAGCAGGTCATAGCGTAGCAACCAGAAGTCTAGCGCACCACCGTCATCAGAGCATTAGTGCAGGCAATCGATAAACTAGATGAAGAGAGTAGCAGAGTTTCGCCGTCGTCAAATGCGCGAATTAGGGTTACGGCCGTCGTCATAGCGAGTCGCTAATCCGCTAATATCCATAGCAAGGGTCGCTGATCCCCTAACATCCATACCGATCGTGGCTTATTTGCTAATATCCATAGCGACAGTCGCTGATTAGCTAATATCCATCTGCTCATGACTGGCCAAACAGCGGGAGGCCGAGATGCCTAAGGCGGCGAGAAGCGAGCGCCGCTAGCACATGTGTACAACGATCGGCGAGCGGCAAAGGATGAATGGCGAATCTCGAACGCTGAGCGTTGTGCGAGCCGCGTGCGAGCCGGCGAGTAGCGAACTGCACGGTAGACAGCGTGCGCATGAGGAGAGGTGGCGACCAACCGCGTGCGACGGGTGTGCGGGACCAACCGCGTGCAACGGTTGTACGGAATGGCGACCAACCACGTGCGACGGTGTGCAAGGTGGTGACTTGCCGCGTGCCACGGTGTGCGGAACGACGACTTGCTGCGTACGATAGAGGAACTGTGCGGAACGGCGACTTGCCGTTCTTCGCCGGTGTCGCAGCCCAATCGGCGATGGTCGCCACAGAACTGGCGTTGCTCGTTGCTCGTTGCAACCAGCGCGTCGATTTCCGCTTGCTCGCTGCATCCACCCTCGCTTTCCCCCTCCCGTCGACCTCGCTTTCCCCCTCCCGTCGACCTCGCTTTCCCCCTCCCGTCGACCTCGCTTTCCCCCTCCCGTCGACCTCGCTTTCCCCGTCCCGCCGACCTCGCTTTCCCCCTCCCGTCGACCTCTCTTTCCCCGTCCCGCCGACCTCGCTTTCCCCGTCCCGTCGACCTCGCTTTCCCCCTCCCGTCGACCTCGCTTTCCCGCTCCCGTTGCCCTCGCTTTCTCCCTCCCGTCGACCTCTCTTTCCCCCTTCCTTCGACCTCGCTTTCGCCCTCCCGTCGACCTCGCTTTCCCCGTCCCGCCGAACTCGCCTTCCCCATTCCGTTGTCCTCGTTTCCCCTCCCCATCGCTCGCCCCGTCGACCTACCCTCTCCCACCTGCCGCTGCGTCAACATCGTTCTCATTCCCGCGTCGTGCCCATTCCCCTCCCTCGCGCTGACGCCCTGGTTTCTGCTCTGCCGCCTTCTCCACCCTTCCCATTGCCCGTGTTTACCACCTCCTCCATCTCCCCACCCTAAGCTTCACTCTCACCCACGTCCTCCCATGCGAAACAAAGTCCTCCGCTTTCCTCTTCCTCCCATCCCTCCAGCCTCCCAGCCTAATCAAGTCATTTTTTGCCTCCCATTCCTCCTTTCACCTTCCCAATCGTTAATTTCACCTTCACACCCCTATTGTCCCTTCAATCGCTGCGAGCGATCCTTTTTGCGGATGCATCTTTCCCCCTTCTCACTCTCTCCCCTCCTCCTCACTCTGTTTCCCCCTGCTCACTCTCTTTCCGCTTGCTCACTCTCTTACTCACTATGTTCTCCCCTGCTCACTCTCTTACTCACTATGTTCTCCCCTGCTCACTCTCTTACTCACTATGTTCTCCCCTGCTCACTCTCTTACTCACTATGTTCTCCCCTGCTCACTCTCTTCCCCCTGTCCTCACTCTGTTTGCCCCTTTCTCATTCTCTTCCCCCCTGCTCACTCTCCTTCCCCCTGCTCACTCTTTCCCCCCTGCTCACTCTTTCCCCCTCTCACTCTTTCTTTCCCCCCTGCTTACCCATTGTTTCCCCCCTCTCACTCTTTCTTTTCCCCCTGCTTACCCTTTGTTTCTGCCCTGCACACTCTTTCTTTTCCCCCTGATCTCACTCTCCCCTTCCTTGTCCCTATGCCACTTGTTATCTTGCAAGCAGGTTATGCTTCCCTGTCTGCTCCTTCGCACCTTCCCTCTCCCTTCAGTGGTGCAGATCGTCAAGCATGAAGCAACCAAGATGACAACTAGGTGAACTTCGGATAGTGTGGACCCTCTCTGTGTCGAGAATCGTCGAGAATAAGTTTCCACAGTTATTCGCAACAGAATATGCATTCAATCAGGGTTCAGGATATCCAATAATGATGACGTTCGTGACGTTTGGTTCTGTGTGAAGGTTTTTTGCAACGCTGCTATGTGTAGAGTACAATTGTTTTACAAATATCTCAAATTACAAAACAGTGTGTCACTCCTCTTAGTGCCCCAGCTCCTCCATGTGCTCCTGTGCCTGCTGCCACACCCTCGAGCCACCAAAAATATGAAGGCACGGTTTCGTCCTGCACATAGCAGGACACTACAGGAGGTTGCACACTCACATGGTGATGCAGGGAGAAGCGATGGTGAGGCAGGGAGAAGAGATGATGAGGCAGGGAGAAGAGATGGTGAGGCAGGGAGAAGAGATGGTGAGGCAGGGAGAAGAGATGGTGAGGCAGGGAGGTGAAGAGACACGAATGGAAGGAAGGGAAGGGAAGAAAAGGGAAGGAAAGGGAAGGGAAGGGAATAGAAGGGTTCGGAATGAAGGTAAGGGGAAGGGAAGGGAAGGGAAGGGAAGGGAAGGGAAGGGAAGGGAATAGAAGGGTTCGGAATGAAGGTCAGGGGAAGGGAAGGGAAGGGAAGGGATTAGAGGGGAATGGAAGCAAAGGGAGAGGAAGGGTTGCGCATTGTGAGGGAGTGAGAAGGTGCTCTGTGAGGGGGAATGGGGTGGTGCGACCTGGACAAGGGGAGGTAGATGGGCCATGTGACACGGCTAAGGTAGCTGCATTTGGACAGGCTGGGAGGGGGGGACGACATGGTACGGGCGGTAGAAGGGGAACCAGGGGTAGAAAGCAGGACTAGAATGGGGCAGTGAGGGGGGTACTAAGGCCGGGAAGAAGGGCAGATTGGAGGTGGGCTGACATCGCATTCAGGGGTCTCGTAGTGTGGGCGAGAATTTTCTAGGAATGGGAAGGGCAGAAAGAATTAGATGAGAATGCAAGTATGGGACAGGGGAGGCGCAACTATGGATGGAGGGGAGGCGCAACTATGGATGGAGGGGAGGGGGGAGCATACGCAACAAGGGGAGAGGATGCGCGATGCCTCACCCACACACCTAACACCCGCCTTCCTTCCCATATACCCTCCTACCATCACCCTCACAACCCACTCTACGTTGAACTTTTCCTTCACCTACCACTCGCCTTCCTTCCCACATACCCACCTCCGTTCCCCCTGACCTGCCACTCTACCTTTTCCCCAATAGGAGGGCAGAGCGGGAACATGATGTGGGGAGGGGAGGAGATTAGACCTGCGGGAAGAGGGCAGGTGGTAAAGTCCTGGCTAGGGAACAAAACAGAGGGAGGGGAGGGTACAGAGGGAATTGACCTCGCAGGTGTGTGGGGGTCATCTCTCCTCCTTGTTATCTCCCCCCTCGCACGAGCAGGGGGGAGATAACAGGACAAGGAGGAGAGAGGACCTAAACCTGTCGGACAGGAGGACAAGCGAGAGAGAGGAGGACAGGGGGAGAGAGGAGGACAGGGGGAGAGAGGAGGACGGTAGAAGAAGAGGGCCAGGAGGGAGAGAGGTGTGGTTGGAGAAAGGAGGGCAGGGGGTAGAGAGGAGGACAGGGGTGGGGGGGAGAAGTGGGTTAGGAGGGAGAGAGGACCCGTTGGAGAGAGAAGGACAGGACGGGGTGGAATATGGACAGGTGGGGCGAGAGGGGGACAGAGGGGAGAAGGGAGGGCAGGGGGGAGAGGGGAAGACAGGGGGGGGAAGCGAGGGCGGGGGGTAGAGAGGAAAACAAGGGGAGAGCGGAGGACAGGGGGAGACAAGCAACACGGACACTGAGAGGGAAAACACGGGGGATCAGGTGGGTAGGCAAAGGAAAAACTGAGGACAAGCCACATGGAAACTGTGAAGGCAAGCAGCGGAGGCAAGAGAGGGGGGAATGAGGGGCAGCAGGGGGGGAAATGAGGGGAAGCAGGGGGGGAAATGAGGGGCAGCAGGGGGGGAAATGAGGGGAAGCAGGGGGGGAAATGAGGGGAAGCAGCGGGGAAAACGAGGGGAAGCAGGGGGGAAAACGAGGGGAAGCAGGGGGGGAAATGAGGGGCAGCAGGGGGGGAAATGAGGGGAAGCAGGGGGGGAAACGAGGGGAAGCAGGGGGGGAAATGAGGGGCAGCAGGGGGGGAAATGAGGGGAAGCAGGGGGGGAAATGAGGGGAAGCAGGGGGGGAAATGAGGAGCAGCAGGGGGGAAATGAGGGGAAGCAGGGGGGAAAATGAGGGGAAGCAGCGGGGAAAACGAGGGGAAGCAGGGGGGAAAACGAGGGGAAGCAGGGGGGGACATGAGGGGCAGCAAGGGGGGAAATGAGGGGAAGCAGGGGGGGAAATGAGGGGAAGCAGGGGGGAAGATGAGGGGAAGCAGGGGGGGAAATGGGAGGAAGCAGGGGGGGAACAGGGGAACTAGGGCCGGGAACACAGGGAAGAAAGGGGGGAAAACGAGGAGAAGCATGGAAGGGAAGGAGGGAAAGCAGGAGGTGGAAATAAGGACCCAAAAGGCGAGAGATGGAGAGCATATAGTGGAGACCTGGGGGGGAGTGAGAAATGAGGGGAAGGAGGGATGAGGATAATGAGGTTGGAGGGGAAAAATCAGGGGAAGGAAGGCGGGACATGAGGGAGAGAGGGCTCCGAGGGATCGCCGGAGGTAGAAAGAGGGGAGAGAGAGGGAGAGGGCGTGGGGGGGTTCATAGGATGAAGGAGAGGGGGGGAGGGTTCAGAGTAGTTAGGTGAGGAGGAAGGTGAGCGTAACAAGGAGATTCTCAGAGTGGGGAGCGGGATAGGAGGAGATAGGCAGAGGGGAGGCAGCGAGGCGGCGAGGCGGCAGGGCGGCGAGGCGGCGATGTGGCGAGGCGGCGATGTTGCGAGGCGGCGAGGCGGCGAGGCAACAAGGCGGCAAAGCGGCGAGGCGGCAATGTTACGAAGCGGCGAGGTGGCGAGGCGGCGAGGCTGCGATGTGGCGAGGCGGCGAGGCAGTGAGGCGGCAATGTGGAGAGGCGGAGGATGGGCTCTGGCGCGTTGGGGAGGCGGATGCGAGGTGGCGACACAGCGAGGAGGCAGCGACGTGATAACGACGCGCCGCGCAGACGATGACGGCGCGAGCTAGCTGCGATTTCGCCATTATGCTCTGTCGTAGTGGCGCTAGACTAAGTACGAAATGAATTTGCGTGGTAAGGCGGTGCCTCAGCGTTCAAGCTGAACGAAATGAAACTCTCTTTGGTTATGACTTGCTCCTAAACTTCAACAGTCAACTCCCGTTTGCTTTATCACTTGCTTGGTTGCGCTACGCCCTAGGCTTGATTTCCGCCTTGGCGCGGAGTATCCCCCCAACGCAACCTCCGTGCGAAATAGGTTGGCGTCGCCAGCCTTGTTTGAATCTCTCGCCCCAGCTTTCCGTACCCTGTACAATTCGTTATCGAATCAGCAAGCGTCAAAGGGGGACCACTAACAATGCCCCCAAAAACTACCCCCAGGAAAGTGCACCCTTGCTTTAAGCGGTCGCGCTTAACATCGCCGTTAGCCAAAACGCTTAAAGCCGCGGTGCAGATATCGGTGCTCCAGTTCAAAGTATTATAGCTTGAAACCCGCGTAACCCAGTATACACAGGAAAGCGAGCAGGCAGAGGTTTCTGCCAGTGGGGTAAGGGCGTGCGGAAAAGTGCTTCGCAGTATGATGTGTTGGGGGAAAGCGGGGGAGGCCATGGGGAAAAGCTGCGCACAACGGGATGAGGGGGATCTCAGGCAGCAAACTTGAAAATCCAAACTTGAACTCAAAACAGCTCGAACTCCCACGCTTGGACTAGGTTCCTAGCTACTAAGGGCGCGTGTCTTTTGGTGTAGAGGTTAAAAAATAAGGTCGAACTTTTACTGGTAACCAGCCTCGCCGATTTCGTTTAGAGCTGTTGACGACGATCGTGTGTCCAAGCTCAAAGTTGAAGAAAACAGCAGGACACTGAACTTGGGTAGACCTCGCATTCACTAAGCCTCGAGCACGTTTCTGCAAACGTGTGTTCTTCTGCCCACGGACGAAAAAGCTGCGAGCTTCGCGACGGTAACGAGCTATGTCGTGACAGGTTTCACAAATTTTATTTGTTAACGAACTTTGCTGTATAGACCTGGTAACCTACGAAATTGGGCGCGACTCGGAATGTTGCTGTACATATTCGAACTTTGAGAGTCGAGCATTTCTTGTGCCAAGAGCGCGACTCGACAGTAAAATGATGAGATAGTCGACTACAGGTCGACCAGTGTTCATCTGCCAAAATTCGAGTTAAAAACGTGAACTTTGGCCTAAATTTCAAAAGACACGCGCCCTAAGTAGTACTTGAAGTCCGTTTTTAGAGCTCCGCGGAGCCATTTGGCTTGGATTAATCGCCCTGCATCTTCTCTTGATGTGCGCTCGAAAATCTGTGCTATTTCGTACCTCGTAAACACCTTTTTTTTTTCGTACCCGAAGCGCATTGCTCTCGTTTTCCTCCGCTGCCGTCCTTCTGTTTTCCCTCTCCCGTCCCTCCATTCCTCACGTATCTGCGGTAGCAAAGGCGCGAAGGTAGCGACAGGCAGGAATGGTTGCGACAATGGCGAGCAGCGAGGCGACGGTAGCTAGCAGCGAGGCGACGGTAGCTAGCAGCGAGGCGACGGTAGCTAGCAGCGAGGCGACGGTAGCTAGCAGCGAGGCGACGGTAGCTAGCAGCGAGGCGACGGTAGCTAGCAGCGAGGCGACGGTAGCTAGCAGCGAGGCGACGGTAGCTAGCAGCGAGGCGACGGTAGCTAGCAGCGAGGCGACGGTAGCTAGCAGCGAGGCGACGGTAGCTAGCAGCGAGGCGACGGTAGCTAGCAGCGAGGCGACGGTAGCTAGCAGCGAGGCGACGGTAGCTAGCAGCGAGGCGACGATAGCGAGCTGCGGGGAGACTGTTGCCCGCAGCGGGGCGACGCATCGGTTCGACGGTGGCGAGCGGTGGCAAGTCGCTGACGAAATGGGACCGAGCAGCATCATGGACCAGCCCTCCCCTCCCCCACTCTCTCTCTCTCCCTCTATCCTTCATATTCTTTCTCCCTGTCCTTCTCTCTTTCCCCCTATCCTTCTTATCCTTTCCCCCTGTCCTTCTCTCTCATGCCCCCTATCCTTCTCTCCCTTCTCTCCCCTCCTTCTCTTTCTTTCCCCCTATCCTTCTCTTCCTTTCCCCCTGTCCTTCTCTCTCATTCCCCCTATCCTTCTCTCCCTTTTCTCCTGTCCTCCTCTCCCTTTCCCCGTGTCCTTCCCTCCCCACCCTTCCTTCCCCTCTCTCCCATCCCTTCCCTTTCCTACTATCCCGTCCCACCATTCAACCTTCTCTCGGCATTCCTTTCCCCCCTCTCCTGTCCCACCCCTCTGATTGAATGAAGGTCGCCATTCTTTCTCTTCAAGGCTATCCCCGTTCATTTCCGTCCCAATTCCCCATTCCCCATCCCGTGCCTTCCCTTTCGGTCTCTCCCCTTCCCTCCCAACCGTCCTCCTCCCCCTTCCCCCTTGTCTTTCCCTCCCTTTCCCCCTGTCCTTCTCCCCATTTCACCCTGTCCTTCCCTCCCACCCCACTACCTTCCCTTCTCCCCCTTTCCCCCTGTCCTCCCTATTTCCCCTGTCCTTCTCTTCCTTTCCCCCTGACCTTCTCTGTCTTCTCCCCTGTCCTTCTTTCCCTTTCCCCCTGTCCTTCCCTCCCACCCTTCCTCCCCCTCTCTCACATCTCTTCCCTTTCCTACTGTCCCCTCCCACATTCACCCTTCTCTCAGCCATCCCTTTCCCCCGTCCCCTGTCCCTCGCCTTCCCCCACTCTCGTCCCTTCCCTTTCCACTACGTTCTCTCGTCCAGTCCAGCCGACGGCACCAGCTTTGCTTGGCCACTGCATCGTGTCTATCATATCTCAGTGTCCATGCTCCCTTCAATTTCCCTACCTAACATTCTTCAATGATACGCAACGTGTCCTTCCCTTCCCTTCCTCCTCCTCCTCCTCCCCCCCCCCCCCCCCCCCCCCCCCCCCCCCCCCCACTTTCCTTCCCCTCCCCACTCCTTCCTGTAAATGGACAGCTGCACCAATAGTGGATCGGAGTGTAAAAATTGGCTCTCCTTGGATGATGCCATGTTGTTTGCCTGATATGCTTTGCATAATAAGGATTTCAAGATGACATTCCAAGGATTGCACATATGTACAGTTGATGAATTTTCTCCCCTTAATGTCTGGGAAAATTAACCTCTTAAGTGAAAATGGTATTTTGCTCAGCTTTTTTAAACATATGGTTTCTCGTTTTGCAATGTGGAGGTGTTATTGGCAGACTGGAACAATCAGCGAAAGGGGGTATGGGCGTGTTGATGTGGTCCCATTTCTCGTTCCGTAGGTGTTCCCCGCTTTCCTTTCCCCCACCCCTTCCCCCCCACTTTTCCTTTCGAGGTTCCCGACATTCTGTCAAATGTTGTAGCCTGTAGTGAGGCTTGTCTTAGGGTACATTCCTGTGTGGACATTTGTGTCTCAATCCTATTGTGACGCGTAAAAACAGCATAAAACGTATTATGTCACAAACGGAATCGCCTTTTAGCGACCATTACTGTATTTTTCATTGGTCAGCGTGAAACGCACTAACGTCGCGGACGAGTTGCAAATCGACCCGTCACTGGAAAATGTTAATAGAACTAAGCAAGAATGATTGAAAGGAGAGGGGTTTCACTAGCAGCAGTTGGGGTACATATAGCAAACCCTAACTGGGTTGTACTCGCTATAGAGCACCCCACTACAGGCTAGACAATAATAACATTCTGACAGAAAAATGTCGCACGCGGTTCGAAATGTCAATGCACCTGAACACCCCCCAATGCCAATTTCGTGCATGAAAAAAACCCGCGCGTCGAAACCACACCCCAGCCAGGCGTTTGAAGAAACGGGTGTACAGTCAATTCCGAAACCCAATCAAAAGCGCACAACTGTACATTTCCACTGGTCGCCTAGTGTCGCAATACATTCCTTTTTTGTGACGCGAGGTTGACAAAATGTTACGACGCGACTCGGGAAAAGGGGGATTGAGACATTTGTGTCCACACAGGAATGTACCCATAGGGTACATTCCAGTGTGGACATTTGTGTCTGCATCCCCCTTTTTCCGAGTCACGTCGAAACATTTTGTCAATGTCGCGTCACAAAAACTGAATGTATCTCGAAACTATTGGGCACATTTGATTGGGTTGCACAGATGACTGTACACCCGTTTACTCAACCGATTGGCTGGTGTGTGATTTTGACGCGCGGGATTTTTTCCCGCGCGAAATTGGCATTGCTGGCAGACCAGGTGCATTGACATTTGGGACCACGTGCGATTTTTTTGAAGTGACGAGTCGGTTTATAATTCGTCAGCGACGTCAGCGTGTAACACGCTGTCCAATGGAAAAATAGTAATGGTCGCTGAAAAGCGACTCGAGTTTGTGACACACTACAGTTTATGTTGTTTTTGAGTGTCTCAAAGCGATTGAGACATTTGTGTCCACACAGGAATGTACCCTTAGAGTACAAAACTTAGGGTTAGCTATATGTACCTCAACCAACATCAATGCATCATCCATTCCTCATTCTGACATGGTATCAGTTAGGTTAGGATCCTGTGGGATCCCGTTCCTCCGTTCATCGTTCGTACCTCCCGAGCCTGATCCTCGCTCTCGTCCGTCCCGTTCTTGTAGCTACCGAGCCTAGCGCCGGCCCTTCCGCGGTAGTGTTCGCTTTCCCCCGCTCCCCTACGTCGCGCCCGTCCCCTTCCCCCCGTCGCGTCGCGCCCGTCCCCCCCCTCCTCCCGTCGCGTCGCGTTTCCCCCCGTCGCGTCGCGTCCGTCCCCCTCCTCCCGTCGCGTCGCGTTCCCCCCCGTCTCGTCGCGCCCGTCCCCCTCCTCCCGTCGCGTCGCGTTTCCCCCCGTCGCGTCGCGCCCGCCCCCCTCCCCCCGTCGCGTCGCTCCCGTCCCCCTCCCCGTCGCGTCGCCTCGCTGCCCAGCGCTGCGCCCGCGACCGCGCCCGTCGACCTGGCCCGCGCCCTAGCCCGTCGCCCAGGCCCGCGCCCCAGCCCGTCGCCCCAGCCCGCGCCCTAGCCCGTCGCCCAGGCCCGCGCCCCAGCCCGTCGCCCAGGCCCGCGCCCTAGCCCGTCGCCCTGGCCCGCGCCCTAGCCCGTTGCCCAGGCCCGCGCCCCAGCCCGTCGCCCCAGCCTGCGCCCTAACCTGTCACCCTGGCCTACGCCACAGCCCGTCGCCCCAGCCTGCGCCCTAACCTGTCACCCTGGCCTGCGCCACAGCCCGTCGCCCCAGCCTGCGCCCTAGCCCGTCGCCCAGGCCCGCGCCCCTACGCGCGTCGCCGCTGCGCCCCACTTCCGTTTTCCACCGCTGCGTCCGCTCCCGTTGCCCGCTGCCTCGTCCGTCGTTCGCTTCCGTTGTCCAAGGGTACTGCTTAACCCTAGTCTCCCACTCGCCTACTGCTGTCTCCTACCGACACTGGCCTACTGCTGTCCCACGTTAGTTTCCACTATGGTGACTCCGCGTGTACTTCGTTTCGACGCTGACGGTAGACCTCTTTTGAGCACTCTACTGACTTGATCACTCACCTCCGCTCGCTCGACGCTAGTTACCGCGCTGCTTGCACTGAGGCACAGCTTGCACTGCTTCCTCCCCCTATGGCGATTACTATCTATTTCATCGCCACTAGCCTCCCTGACCGCCTTGCCTCCGTTCGTGACGTGCTTCTGCTGAAGCACCCTAGTGAGCTCACCGTCGAGGTCCTTGAGTCTGCGCTCAAGGACGTCGAGAGCAACCTTCGCTCGGTAGCCGCTGCCTCTGGTGCTGTGCCCCCCCCACTCTTCCACGGGTGCACAGTCCCGCAGTTACCCACCTTTACTGCCTCTCTCGCCACTGCCGCTACTGACGCGACTGCAGCTGCTGTTACGACTGCGTCGCGGTCCCGCGGTAGGGGTGGCAAGAAGGGCGGTTCTGGTGGTGGTGGTGGTGGAGGCGGAGGTAGTGGAGGTGGCGTTGCGACTGGCGGTGGTGGGAGTGCAGGACCTGGAGAGACGTCTCGTGCAGCGACAGGTGACTCTACTGCGCCTGCTGGTGGTGGCGACGCCCGAGTTCGTCAGTCGCCTCCCGTACTGCCGGCCCCGGTGGGTGGAGCAGCGGCGTGGTACCAGGCCCAGCGTCAGCAGCAGCTTCAGCAGCAGCAGCAGCCCCTCTCCTCCCAGCAGCCTCAGCAGCAGCAGCGGCCGCAGCTGGCTCCGGGGTCGGGGCTGCGTCAGCCCCAGCGCGGTGCTGCTTACCCTCCCTGCACCTATCAGGTTCTGACAGGTCCTCGCCGAGGCCACCCTTGTGGCCGCTTTCACCCCCTTGGTTAGTGTTTTGCTCAGCTCACTGACACGGTTCGTTTGGTCTACGGGGTTGGCGGTCCTGCCCCTGACTGGCTTCCTCTTGTTCAGCGTTACGGCTCCGCTCTGTGGGGCATGTCTGCTGAGCAGTTAGCAGATCTGATTGGAACTCCTCATGCTATGTATGCTGTTGTTGACTCTAGTGTTTCTGACTCTGTTTACTCTGGTGTTGTTAGCTTAGGTGCTAGCCTTGCTCAGTTGCCTATTGCTTGTGTAGGTTCTTGTGTAGACTCTAGTCCAGCGCCTACCTCGGAGGACACTTCGCTGTCGTTCACGCTGGACTCTGGAGCCTCGCACTGCTTCTTTCGTGACAGCACGACACTTACACCACTTCCTGCACCTGTCTCCGTGGCGTTGGCTGATCCCACCTCGGGACCAGTCACTGCGCGTCACACTACTACCTTGCCGTGTCCTGCTGCTCCCTCCGGGTCTCTCACTGGGTTTCACGTCCCCTCGTTCTCGAGGAACTTGGTGGGCGTACGACCCCTTGTGAGCCAGCACGTGGGTGTGTGGTTTTCGGGTGA